AAAGCATCAAAGTAGCTGTCTAATTACGCGCCTGGGCGTAGATGCCGATGTGTGCCGAATAATCGCGCTCCCCACCATAAGAACAGTGTGAGAAATAAGAAACTAACACTGAGTGATACATAAATTTGACCTCTTTTCAGCTCTACTAATGGAGATGTTGCATGTGTGAGGAATTTGAGATCTGACTGTTGATTCTTAGGTAAAAGTTCGCGAGAAACACGATGGTGCCACTGGTCCTCTCTGAACTCAACTCCCAAGCTCAAAAAAAGCTCTCAAGTTGAGGCCAAAATGGAGGGAATATCCCACGCTATCCTGAGAGTCCACCTCTAGATCAAAACAAACTCTCCATACAAAGATAGGAAGCAAATCCATTAGCAAGGATGCCGTGTTTTCAGTTTTAGAGTCCCCAAATAAATTGGCAGCCCTGTCAATGTATTTGCTCCCATTCTTTGCATAGAGAGTTAGCTCTGCCAAAACAAAATAAAGGCTCTGCGCCAACGTGGCCCCTGAAAATTGTCCCCTAAAAATCTGAATTTTCATATCAGGTAATTATTCAAAATTTTCATCACCACAAGTGAAAGCTTCTTCTATTCTTCACGATTTCATCATTTGTGCTTTTGTCTCCCCCAAGTTACAGCTACTCACTAGTTCTGTTATGAAAACATCTTGCGTCTAACTTTTCACTAAACGCGCCGTAATATATAGGCAAAGAGTCAATTTGGCCCCTAAAAAAACTTCAATGGCGCCTAAAAATCGGGCTTGATGCGCCACATGGCTCCTAAAACTCAAAGGTGAGTTTCGAACACCGGTCCCGGTGCGCATGTTCAAGGAGGAGAGGGAATGAGCTGAACAGAGGGGACGGCAAGGATGCACGAGTCCGCGGCGTAATTGAATTATATGCCTCCAAAAGTGGAAGAAGAAGAAAATTGGAAGGTGTCTCGGAATAAATTTGAATAGCTACGGCGCATGGATTAGCCAACTTCAATCCCCCGCCGCCGCGCCGGCACCGCTCTTTTTTCCCTCTCTATTTTGACAAAAGACATTAGTCCGCAGTGGAGACTTGTCACGAAGAATAAGAATACGACGAGGCAGAAGGGAAAAAATTAGATAAGGGAGGGGAGGGGTCGTCGCGAGCGGGGGTGGAATTGAAGGGGCGAGGGAAAGAATTTAAAGTACGGATGTAATCACGCCTCGACTACAAATTTATTAATGGCTTAAAAGGTATTACGCCCAGCGACAAATTAAGAAACCTGCGTTTCTCCGCCGAGTTGGGGTCGTGTGGGGTTAAGAAACGCCCGCGGTTGTCTGGTCCAGCAGCCTCGCTTCGGCCAGATTCCTCGGGTCGGAGCTCTTTTATTCAAACTCCACGAAAAATGGCCGTAGCAAAGCAGCAATTAAAGCGAAAAAGGCAATAATTCGACGAGGTACAAAGGGGGTTGAGCACAGGCGAGGCGTCAATGATCGATTTCCGATATTTTCCCATCTGAAGCTATGGTTAAGAATCGATTATTAAGGTGTCCGTTGCGAACACCCTGTTCATCGATCTTTTTATATAGGTTTAAATGGCAGATTAATCGATATATTGCAAAGCACGCCACGCCGTTGGGGTTGAGAAGTTTGAATGTTCTGTCTCTATTTCGCAGCTTTTCCTTTCTTCCAACTCAGTTAATGGCAGCAAAAGGTGGATCGATCGGCACTTAAGGACATCTATTAAAAACAATTTGTTTTTCCCCGCTTTTTTCTTCCTTGCTTAAAGATCTCCAGTTTTGGTTTGTAGCTTACCTGCGCCATGTCTCACACACCAATATCAACGAAATAATGCAACATTTCTAACAATAATGCAAAATTGTGCCTCCTTATCTTCATTCATTTCACCTCAATAATCTAGATCCAATTCGGAGAGAAGGACCAGTTCAATGAAGTCTATCCTGCTATCTTATAGGCGCTATGCGTTTCGCGCCCAAACCGGTGACCGCGCTGAGTTATGCGCAATGCGTAAAGTATTCTTGCAGTCTTGTAGGCACCAATATGCGTCTCGCGCCAACCTGCGACCGCCCTGTGTTTGGCGTAATGCGTGAAGTATTCATTCAGTTTTGCAGGCACTAAAATACGTATCGCGCCGACCAGCTACCGCTACCGCACTAAATAATTACTAATGAGTGACTTTAGAAAGAATTAGGGATGCAGTTTTTACGGAATAACTATAGTAGAATTGAGCAGATATTTTACCAGTTGAAGGTCGTATTTCTTTGTTTTTGTAAGTCCTCAGGCAATTTGAACTTTAGCTTTCTAAATTTTGAGAAGTAGACGTAATATTTCCCGAAGCACTTTTTCCGTTTTTGATTTTGAGCATTCTTGCTCCTTGTAATTGTAACGTATTCGTAAGCGAGTCGTAACACTAACTGGAACCCCTCTCTATGAGATACGGGATGTTGGACATGATTCCCCTCTTATTTTTATGCGCTTTATGATGCCATACTGTGGCGTGGCGTACTTCGCGATTCATCGATACATCTACCATGATGCCATAAAGTTTACCTCTTCAAAAAGTTACAGAAGCTGCTTTTAAACACTGTATACGGATGGTGGTCGCTTAACTTTAGCTCCATCCCTCGTAACACATCGTTACGCAGACTCTAACCTCCTCCCGTTTAAGTGCGTTGCCTAGTACTAGAATGCTCCAAAAAAGGACAAAACAAAACTTAAAGTCGGGAATAAATTAAAAAATTTGTAACTTGGCAAGTGAATGGTACTTTTTCACTCGTACCATTAATGTGGTCTCTTCAGGGATGCTTTTTGATTTAACTTTAAGAGCTTTTGATTATCGCGAAACGCGTTTTGGACGCAATCGAAATACGCATCAGTTTCTCTGGGCATTCAGTCCCTATCCCATAAAAAATAAAACAAAACTTGAAGTTGAGACTAAATCAACAAATTTATAATTTCATAAATAGAGGGTACTGTTTTATTCACAATATGTACAGACGTTGAAACTCCCAAACTACGTGTCTCATTTGCAGTGTTAGAAAATCTTTGCTCTTATTGGATTTTTTTCAGAGAGAATAAATCAACATCATTCCCTTAAGTTTTTTTCATACTTTGCTTCGCACAGGGAAGACACATTACAGAAGATTTTAAGGATTGAAGTTGAGTTCTTCTCCATTTGAAAAGTAAAGTATGACAGGAAGTGAGCAACGTCGCAAAGCGAGATGCGTGGTTTGTTAGTTTCACCGTCGATATGTGGTTTGCTGAGGACTGCAGCCGGATTGTTGAAACTTTAACTGGCTATGTCGGCACGATAAGACAAGAAATAGCCCTATCTGCGCCGTGTAATATATCGATTTTCGATTCTTGTCGTGCCGACATAAGTTTAAACAATCAGGCTGCAGGGCTGCATTTGGATTTAACTATGATCGCGGCACGCGTTTCAGACACAATCGAAATCCTAATCCGGTTTCTCTGATGATTCCTCCTCAGAAGGACAAAGCAAAACTGGATTGCATCTCGCGAAAAGGAACCACAAGCATTCCAACGCCTCTAAGATTTTGCAACTTTTTACTTGCAGGTATAAACTGGTCATCCAAACAATTTTTATCCTTGCTCTTAATAAACTATACATTTAATACAAAAATGACCTTTGTAAATTTAATTTTTTGTAATGGTTTCAGGAATTGGATTCCAAGGAATGTAAGTTGCACAATGGACCACTAGACAAGGTACGAATTTCAGCATTCTGATACATGTTTCTCCACCAGAATACCACGTGAAACACGATGCGCACAACGAAAATTACCGAAATCAACTCCTTTCGAAAATATTTAATGATTCTTGGTGCATGAATTGAAACCACCCGCTCATGAAAACTCAATGCTCTTCGTGATTCACATCGCGCGCTAAATGTTATCATGAACGTCTCTGCGATAAAAATAATCTGGCAACCTCAATCTTGACGCTTCGGCTCAGCTAGGGCAAATTACTTATAGTTTGAAAAACACACGGTGGGAAATGAACATTGCTCGATTGAGAAGCTTGCTGAAACCGTTGTAGGGTGCGATTCGACTCACGTAGAGCTTTGAGTTTCTTGTGAGTGGGCAGTTCAAGTTCCTCGTAACCAATGTGAAATAAAAATGGTTAACCCAACTCCGTTAGGAGTTGGTTTCAGTAATTTTCGTTGCGTAAATTGTATTCTACGTGAAATTCTGGTTAAGAAACATGTATACGAATGCTTAAATTCGTACCTTGTCTAGTGATCCATCGTAGTACCATCGGAATACTCTCGGTTCCTTTTTGCAAAATGCAATCCAACATGAGGTTGAGAATAAATTAAAAAATATGTAGCTTCGCAAGTGGAGGGTAATTTTTTATTCGGAGCGTAAACGTGGTCTCCTCAGGGCCGCTTTTCGATTTAAACTTGCGGAGAGCTTTTGTCGATTGCGAAAGGCGTTGCAGACGAAATCGAAGTCCCGATGTAATTCCGCGGAAATTTACCTCAGATTACACGCTCCGGCGGCAAACGCGGGCCACGTGCGGAAAAGCAATAGAAATGTAGTCGAGTCGGAGACAATACTGCCGTGCTAAGGAAGAACGCCGTACGAACCCTCAGACGTTGCCAAGTTTCCTTCGATAAAAACCGAATTCATTAGGAAAATTTTAAATATTTCCCCCCAAATTAACCAGACAATTTTGTACGCAATTTAATCTAAAATACCTGAAAATTTCAAGGAAAAATATGCATGAATGTTGTCAAAATTACATGTTTTATCTCGGGAAATTTGGCAACCCTCGAATGTTCTTACGGCGTTCCTCCTGAGGACGGGAGAATAGGAATGGGATCCGGAAGCACAGTAGTGAAACTTGACGTTCAATACGCGGAAGGGTAGTGAAAGTTGAGCTTTGGCTGCGGGGGGTCGGTCGGCATAGATCGGCTCAACCCTTCTCCCGAGCACCCCGGGCCTGCGCCCTGCCGCGAGCCGTTTGTTAGTCGCTCCGGCCGAGCCGTGTCCGCCTTGTACCTTAGTTATGGCCGTTTAGTTCTCGCTTTTAAACAGCTTTCCATTGCAGCCTTTGTGACAATTCCTCAACGCATTTCCTCGCTAACCGCCAATCACAGGTAAACGCAATAACAGTTCCCATTCATGTGCCGTTCAAGCCTCAGCTCCATGCCGCGCTCACCCGTGGGCCTCCGTCCCCGAGCTAACCTCATTTTTTCGTCCCAGACAGGGCTGCCTCTTGGCCAGCGTGAAATGCACGCCCGGGTCGAATTTACAACTTGCGCTTACAAGTTATGCGCAAGAACAACACCCGCTGACCTTAAAATTTCTTTTTAAACCGTCGCTCAGCACCATTCATCTTTATGAACCCGGCAGGAATTGTAATCAACGTTTTACAATTGTAGTGATCCAGAGCTGTACTTAACCTCACTTTTCGGGAAACCTGTTAATGATGTTCGCTTAATCGCGGAGGTGGAGATTTTACCCTATCTGAACAATGACTCTTCTGTTTTTCATGTGGTGGCACTCTGTTAGTGCAATTCTTTGCACAATAATAATAATCATTTTTAATCTTATTATCCGGAATAGAAAATTATCGTTCAGCTCATTCTTTTTATTGGCATTCAAAGCTGCAGCAGCTGTATACTTTTCTGACCACCCTTATCTTTACTCTTGATTTTCGGCTGGACACTTGCAAAATCCATCTGTGTTTGGTCCTCGGAAATATCCTTTCACGACTTGACATTCTAGATTAAACAATCCGGAGATTGCTTTAAATTTGTGTATGATTTATGTGTCTCGTATAAATATTACTTTTTGGAGTATATATATTTCCGAGTTTACAAGAATTATTACAAAAGTAATATCGCAATGCGGTCACAATTAATTTCAACATACTAATAATTTCACATACTAATTTCAACACACCTAATCCAAAACATCAAAGACGATGGCAAAACAAACTGCAGTATATCTAGGTTTCAATTGGATAACTTTCATGAGAACCTTTTGAAGTTTAATTATTTTTTAATATACATTTCGATAAATTTTGGTTCTCCATCATCGTGGAATTTAAATCGTTTTTAATTCGCCAAAGGCTTCTTTTACGCTGTGGATAGACATTGGTAGAAATAGCGCTAAGCTCTACCTGAACATTGTAAATAATGCGGTCAACCTCAGTTTCGATTCGCCCCCCCCCTCACCCCATTCAAAGCATGTTATTTGGAACAGGCTACAGATTCCAGCGAGAAAAGTATTCTTTCACGTGTTGATCGGTCAGCCATGATATATTTTTCAAACGACCGTCGGGAAAGTTTCTCTAAACTTTCCGTTGATTTAGACCGTGTTCACATTTTGCTCATAATACGACAGCGAGTGTAAACAATTCTCACTAATGCAAGGAATGAAACAAAATCCAAGGTCCGAACGTCCATAAATCTGAGTAAGGAATATTTTTCACCGAAAAAAAAAAAAAATGCGTGGCCTCCATTGACCCTAGTAAAGTAAACGACATCTTTCTAGGAAATTTAAAAGAAAATCCATGAACACACAATGATGACACAACAGCCAAGGCTAAAATCTTAAACGAACTTCCTTGGTACTTACCTCAGAATAATGATAGTAAGCTGTTTTCCTTTAATATGGGTTGAAGCCTTGATTGTACCAATTATCTGCTGTATGTAAATGCTATCGATTATTGACCGATAATGAGTTGGTGACTTTCCAGCATGATTAGCAATTAGACCCTTCATGTACCGATGACAAGATGACAAGTGTAGCACGATCGTCAAAGGGATCAACATTAACGTCAATATGCAATCATAATCGAAGTATGTAGGAGTTTCATGCAGTTCAGAAGTATGTCAGCAATACCTGAGCTGTTATCGTCTCCAGTGGTGTGGCTTGCTTTGCTATAAACAGATTTATCAACCATTTAAACCCATGGAATAGGATCAATGAACAGGGTGTTCGCAGCGATCACCTTAATAATCGATTCTTTACCACGGCTTCAAATGGGGAAAATATCGCTAATCGATCGTTCACGCCTCGCCACTGATCGTCTGGTGGGGATCAAAAGATCTTGAAAGGCGATTAGCAACCAATTCGCCTACATTTTGACAAGATAGGCAGAAGCAGTTATCCTCAAGGCGCAATAATGGTATCCGATATTAGAAAGTTACAAGCTCAAACGGTTGTAGTTGACAAGCAGCTTATCTTGATCAACGGGCTTGAGAGTAAATTTTGCGGCTGAAAATGAATCAGTCGAATGAAAAAACAAAACTAAGCAGACGGGTTCAAGTCTAATTCTATGTTTCATAATCCACACGAATACAAACATTTTCTTTACGGAGAGAATTGTGCAGGCTTACCTGCAAGTGTTCACGAACAAATTTTCATGACAGTTTTTACGAAAAGTACAATTTTTACCATTAGTTTTATCAAAAATCAACTTCTAAATTTCTATGAAGCTCTTTAAATTAAGACATGAATTAGCAAAATATTCCATCATATGAAAGTTTACCTTGCAGTATTATTCAATCGAATCTCGATTGAAATGCGATTGAAAAAAAAGGCAGAGGTGTCAGACTTGAATTAAAATTTACTTGATTGACAATATTGACGTCCTTTAGCAGAATGATAACTACTCTTTAACTCAGTTTTACCTCTAAGTGTGAGTTATTGACACAACCGAACTCTCCTATTTTTGTTTGATTTCATATCTCTTACCAACACAGTATCAATTGCTGACCTTTTTATGAGCCTGGGATATTTGATCGTGGACAAAACCGCAGGCATCGTCAAGTTTTTTGCTAAATTGTGTCGAGAAACACTCGGTCAGATTACAAATCTGAGCAGCACCAAAGACAATCCACTGATTTTTCCTTGCAATAGCCTGTATCGGCAATTCTGTAAACCTGTTAAATTTCCCCTCAAAGATGTTAAAGCAGCGCAATAATCAGGTATACTTGTTTTTAATTCACCCTTCCAATTGCTTGAAATATGGCGTTGCCTTTTGAGGTATCGCATCGCAATTTAAAATCCAGTAACCATGTTGCGTCTTAAATGTGTATAACCTAAGACGGCAACAACAATGCAGGTCTAGCATTCCAATTTTTCAAATGGTTCCGTAAACCTATCTCTATGTGGACAAGGTCCTCGATTTATAAGAAATGAACCAAAAAATTATGAAAGAAAAAACATAAATGTGGTTTAATAATTTTAACTTCCGCCGCTGCGCCGCACTGATCGCACTGTGATTGGCGCAATGCGTGAAGTATTCTTGCAGTCTTGTAGGCGCTATACGTTTCACGCCAACCGCTCCTGACCGCACTGTGTTTGGCGCAATGGGTCAAGTATTCGTGCAGTCTTGTAGGCGCTAATATATGTGTTACATGCCGATCGCCGCGCCGAGGACTTGTCTTTTTCATCTCAAGTCCTCGTCATCATTCCTCTCTGCGTTGGGCTCCAGGCCAAATTGCGTGTTTAGTTCCTCTCTTCACTCTACCAATTAAAGATGCTGTTTCTTGTATCACCGAAAAACGACAAAATTAGAAATTACTATACTATCAGGAAAGAGAGATTTCGTCCCCTTTTCTTACGGATAATTTGTTTTCTGAATCCGATTTTTTTATACCTACATTTAAAAAAATTGCAAAATTTGCCGCCATGGGCCGCGGCCCATGTGGCCACCCCCTTAATCCGGCCCTGGTTACTGGCAGAAATATTTCTTAGTACAAGTAGAATCCCGCGCTTTAGAGGGTACTTTCGATATTTTGCTAAACGTGGCCGATTGTTGGTGAATATTGAACACCAGTTCCAGTAGCGCGAATTTTTCAAAGCGCGATGTCTCGATTTATATTGAACGTAGAAAATTGATGTTTGGACAGTCTTAATATTTGTAGCTGATCGACAAGAATCAAGCATCAGAATACGATTCTGAGACCAGCGCAGCTGACTCATTCAGGCGTATGCACATTTTAAGGTTTGGAAAATAATGCCACAAAGCACTGTCGCACGCATCATCGTACTTCCTAACGGTCGATAAATCCCCTAAAATAATACGCGCCATGAACATTTTGCTAATCGGGTGATTCTTATGGCATTCGACTCATTTGTGAGTCTCAACCCTCGGAACTGCAACTGACCCTTCGAGACACCGAGGTCGTTGTCTTGTTCTCTGGAGAAAGCAGGGAAGATCTGAAACAAAAGCTGTTAACCCGAGATTTACGCCGGGAGGAGAATAAATAAGTTTGTCGAGTCAGGAAAGAATAGGAGGAAAGAAAGACAGTTGATTTCCCTTCTCCTCTGCGCCATTCTTTTTCACCGAGGATCATAAATTAATTAGCCTCTCATAATTCATTTCAATTAGTGTGCGAATAAACGACAAGAGAAACGCAGCGCGCCGGGCTCGGCTTGGTAAGGAAAGAGTCGGTCCTTGCCAGGGTTGCACAAGTGAAATGAAAAATATGAAAGATTGGAAATTCGAAATTGAATACACATATACTACATTTTGCAATTAGGAAGTACAATTCCTCAGACATGTGCATAGGAACAGTGCATGTAAGTACCATCAGTCTCCTAATGCACGCACGTGTTTTCACGGGTGAACCAGAAGTTCCTAATTGGAAAATGCAGTCCATATTTTCTAGGTTTTAATTTTTTACGACTACTCGTTAGGAGAAACACAAATTTTGGTTTATGGTTTCTCAAAGTTGTTTAGAGTTACTTTTTTATCGGTCAAATCAACCAAAAGGTCTCGGTCGATCGACCAAATTTTTGACTGAATTAACGAAAACCGTGGGTTACTCGGAGGCACCCGGGGATGAAGTAAGAGTCCTGCTGAATTAATGTACATAACTCTTGTTTTTCACGATTTCACCTAGAGGCAGCGACTTGCGAGTCAACTTCTATCCTGGCGACTCACGCCTCATTTTTAAGGAGATAGCAAATTTTTAATCCAAAGATTTGGTCAAAGTAACCCAAAGAAAAACTAACAAAAAAGTATGAGCAGCACGCATTGGTTACTTAACACAAACCGTCCGACACTTTTTCTTACCGCACAAAGAGGGCTTATACCCTAGTCAAAAAAATACGATGATTAACCCGCTATGCCTACCGT